TCGACTTCATTTTCCCTAATACTCGGGCTCTATAATCCATTCCACACACACAAACATACATAGGCTTGGAGTTAGTTATGCATCATTATGATTGAATTCTAGCTAAAAATGCAACGAAATACAGTGAGAAAACAATGGAACCGTGCGGTCCTTATCATTTTTGCAGAGAGGGGTCCTAATGCTGACCGAAATATTCCATCACTCCCCTTGTTATAGTGAATTGTTGTATGAAACACTATTGGCGTTCCACTTCCATTACACGGATCCACAGGCTCCACGTGATATGTTAGCAGAAGTGAAAGTGGCGAGAGCTCATCTACAAGACAATCCCCTCACCTGACGCTTCCCGTTCAAGATGTGTCCTTTAGAGCATCGAAGAAGCTTCTCTGACCGACATCCACACACCTCAAATGAGTGTGGCTTTTACATCATATCATAAAATGAAATGGTCCGATTCCGACGTTGTTTTCCTTTTCATCCCAGATCCTACGAAAGTCGAAAAATTTATATTTATGTCAATCATCTGAAACTGCAATAAGTATTTATATTGGTTGGTGAGTTTCCTTTCCTAATAAACTTCTTCCAAACCTAGCTCATCCTGCACGCATTGATCTTTTACGATATCTCTCTCACACTTTTATCCATGTCCGAAAACCTGCACGCACACTTGCTCGGGCCGATTATCTACCGTGTTCCAGAATAGTTACTGATAGCAAATGTAGTCAGGACACACGTGATGTTTTCTGTGAATGCGTCAGAATCATGTAAGCATGAAATTTTAACGTGATTTCCCACTGAACCTCAGTTCGGGGTCAGGAGTCTATTTTGTGAAACTGGTTCTTTCGATTTGCAAGGTAATTGACTAAGCCTCATGTTGGAACAGGGTTACAAGCCTAACTTACAATAGAGCCAAATTTGTTTATACGAATTTGTGTCTAAATAAAAACAATCTCCGATACCCACCTACCAAAACTCAGATTTCAGTCCTTCCCAGCTTTGAAAATTGTAGTCTCAACCCCGACCACACTCCAACCCTCTCCCCACCCCTGTGTATCATCCTAGAGTTACTCTCGATCCAGTTGGTCACGTAGTTGTTCGAATAATCATTTGTATGTTTCCAACGAGGCGACATACGTGAAGCAATAACTTCACTCAGATTGGTTTCAAAACTGTCTCACGAGGGTTTCCGGAACAAATTTCCGAACTTTTTATGCCCACAGCTCTCTCTGTGAACCTCTTGGCATAAACACAAATACACTCTATGAAACTGATTCATCTGCCCACTTCAGCGCGCTCCGTTCCCCCTTCCCCCCTCCTCAATAGGGGGCTCGAATCATGACATCCCGAAACAAATTCGTTCTGTGGCGCAGCTTGATGCGCCACTACGACCGTGAGATCCGAACCCGCCTACCCGAACTATTTAGACGCACACACACATACACACACGTGTGGTACGCTAACATGGATCCGGATGTTTGCGCGCTCGTATGTTGGTGTTTGGAAGCCCAAGCACGTGATGCCTTCACAACTGCGATCTCGATAGCCTATAAATTGTGTGCGCACTCACATTCACAGCACACTAACAGTACAGTCCGGTGGAACCCAACTAAACATGCGAGCCCTGATAACGCAATGCTGTCTTCTCTTACTGATCGCGCAAGCGCATTCGGCTCATTGGAATCACCATTCGGATGGAGTTAGACCATACGAGGAAACACATCCCGAAGAGGTCTGGCCCCAATCGGAGGACTTTGACGAACAGCCGTTCGACAATCCATTTGACGACGCGGAAAACCAATCGGATTTGGAAGATGACACGGTAAGTGAGCCCAGGACGAGATCTGGTCAACTCCCGGGCCTGACAATTATTGTTCATGGGTTTTAGTCTGTTAGGGAATTAAAGTTGTTTATTTTTCAGTGTTTGCCCAGCTAAGTATCGTCCCATTGCAATCACGTATAAACTCACTTATGTTTATACTAGATTCACTGCATCGAATTCACCGCCTCCGAAGTTAATCAGTTTCTGCGGGTAAATACTTAAAATGAGTGAATTTGCTTTGTACTCTGTTCAAGTTGAGATGCACTGTAGACATAAAAATAACCAGGGTTACAGTCGGAGATGGAAGATGCTGATTCGCACAAATCCTTATCCAGTGAAATACAGCAGCTAAGTTTTTACGATTCCGTCGATATTATTGCATAATCTCCTATGGCTTCATGCTGCCCTCCCACCCATAATGTGGTATTCCAGCAATCATGGACTCAGCCATTAAATCAGCTTTACAGGGCTCCTGTTAGAGGTCTAAGCCTACATTGCAGTTGTGTACACCGGATTCAGGACTCATTCTATCAGGTGAAATCAAACAGGACACCATTAAATAAGTGTCATACCAGGAGAAAACTGGAATACAAAGTAGACAAAATGCCTTGAGATAAAATTCAGACGAAACAAGATAAACTTGGCAGCTCGCTCACCCATGGAATTCTTCTTAACAGAATGTTTGCTCTCGGGGTTACGCAAAGTGACCGAGGATGATGTGGAATATACCTCCGTGATGTTATTTTTACTAGCCTTTGTTACCCCGTTTCCCCTAAAATTCACAAATGCCACCTAGGAAGGAATAACAACACAGCCTCTGACCTCCCCGAATTCACTGTAAACTCAAAAATGAAATGCATTGAATCCTCTGGAACTGTTTGCTCGAGATGTTGGTTATCAAACAGACACAGATTGGGGCTGAGGGTTCGAACTTGCAACCGGAATCTTCCTGGATTAAGTTCCAGATATTTTCACTGAGACAACTTTACACTAACTTCGGTGCAATCAAAGCAGTATGGTAAATGTCGCATGCATAAGGCTGAGTTGCGAGACGAATATCGGATTAATATGTCCGATGGAGAGTAAGAAGCAGCAAACCGGTATTGTTCGTCCAGATACACTTTTTATCAGGTGGCCCACACAGTGCATATTACACGATCAAATATAGACTTAAGTATAGATTGGATTTAATGCGTATAACCTCATCGGTACTACAACTAAAGCATTACAATGGGCCTCAAAATGAGTTCTTTCACCAGCACTCACCGAGATCCAGTTATTTACTTTGCACTGACGCAGCCATCATAATCATCATTGTACAGCGTAATACAGTGAAACGAACTTCCCTGATCACTGCCAAACTCATCTTGCAAACAAGGTGAGTGAGACTGTGTAAGGAGGATAGGGATCGGATTTACTTTTAGGGACGGGAAAAGAAAGCGAACCTCCATGGTCAACACACAGAATACACAGCCCAACTGTGCATACATACTACTTCAAACATTCTGGTCTGATAAGGTGTGACACCAAAATCGTCACTGCTGTCAGTTTGCTGCCGTTACCTTCAGTTTCCCAAACTATGCGGTTACGGAATCTTTTGGACTCCAACCCAGATGACGACAGATACCTACGTTACCTAGTCACTGTGCATTTCTTCACACCTCATCTCCACTTCATCTGCTGGCCTCCACACGGCTTTCCCCAGTCTGCAACATTCATGATAGTACATTACGTGGGAATCTCTCAACTTAACAGCATAAGTAACAAAGAGGTTCACATCTGACGGAAGTAAAATGGAGTCCAGAAAATTACCTAAAACGGATCTGTCTGTCTGTCTGTCTGTCTGCCTGTCTGTCTGTCTGTCTGTCTGTCTGTCTGTCTGTCTGTCTGTCTGTCTGTTTAGGACTACACATGGTGTTAGCCAACTGGCAAATACCGGTATTAGATAACAAGTATTAAGGAGGGACGAATGTGATGAATTTCTATTGACAATATTACCGAGGTGGGTCAACCTCTAAGAAGAGAAGAAAACATTTGATTCAAGATCGGTTTCACACGTGGCGTGGAATTATCAGGATTTTTGTGGCAAACTTCATAACTAACATGTGTAACGAATCAAGTTGGAATATACACACGTAACACTTCCCATTGTAAATTTATGATGGCCAATGTAAATAGTGAATAGACGGGCTCTAGAGTCCGTGAAGTGAGCCAGAATGGCGTCAAACTGATTGGAATTATATGTCAAAAGTTCAGGCGGGGTTTTCTGCAGTTACTTACAGTTAGATCTTTCGTTACACCCTCATTTTCAGGTCCAGTTTCACTATGTATTAAATCAACGGTTCGGTTTCGTTGCGCTCGTAGACGCTAGCTTATCGGTACCCCGAGATAATACGTTTATATAGGAAACGAGCGTTCGTACCGAAGCAAAACGGGACAATTCACGAAACAGAGGACGATTATACTGTGTAAACCTGAAGACCCAAAAAGAGGAGATGCGGAAGCGTGAGTAAGCGTGCGGAAAAATGAAAGCAAACACGCGCTGACCAAAGAAGTGGCCTTGGTGTGGTAAAACAATAAGATGCAAAGTAGGAAGGGTACATGTAGGATGGGAGGTAGTTTGTGTCACTACACTCTCTACATGAAATGGCATTACTCTAAAAACATTATCGATCGACAGATCAATAAAACTTCCTAAAAGGCATCATTTATCTTGGTCGAGTTTTATCTAGATTTACCTAGGTAGTATGATGTATCAGGAAAACTATTTTGAATCGCACTTTATAAGAGACAAACGACTTGATTTACCCTGAGGCTACTGAACGTATCATAATAAGAACATAGCACTTCAGTCTGCCAAACAACTGGGGTTTCGACAATTTCTACTTTATTGTTGGCCATCCGCCGTTATGAATGGTCAATCCTCTGGCATCCTATGGACCGAAAAGGCATAATCCGTTTCACACGCTTGGGTAGACCACGAAACAATACTGTAAGAGTGTTAAACTCAAGGGAAAGTCTTGAATGTGTTCGATACCGTCGGATGAACTGCCGCCCCCTCCCATTCAGAACCTCAACGGGAACATTTTGTCATATGCTGTCCCTCAATGTCTCTCAGATCAGCTGGCAGGAACCAGAAACAAATGATCCAGGACTTCGCATACACATAGCGGAGCGTTTTCTAGTTTCTTCTCAAGTTCTAACCATCTGGATCGTCCGGGATAGAACACACACAATCAATTACAATAGCCAAAATGTTGCACACTTCCTTACAAGTGACTTTAAAACCAATACATTGTCAATCGTTCGTGAGATTACTTCCCAAATGCCGTTTTAGTGGGCAGCGGATATGAAAGCGAAACATCGATGATATTATTAAAAAAATTACGGAAATACGACTAAAGCGCAAAGCTGTTACAGTAAATCCTCGTTCTTCTCCAATCATTTCTGTTGATGATGTAGTTGCTCTCCAGGCGCAAGAGAACCATCCTGTTTACACAATTAACTCATCATGTATAAAACTTATCTGTTGGTTTTAAGGCCACAAGCACAGAACATGATTTGCCAGCCAGTTATTTTGAGGACCGATGAATAGTTCATTATTCGATGGACTATATAGATTTATTCCCAGNGGGAAAAAGTGGATAAAGCGATCCAAATGGGATTTTGGACCGGTGGCAACATGATGCCCCCCCAACCAGAGCCGGAAATGTTGATCGTGTTCAATACGGAACGTTACGGGAATTGGTCGGATTGGAGTGAGTGCATCTCGAAAGACTGTATCGAAGTCCGACATCGAAAATGTTTGGACGATTCGTGGAAAACTCCCAGTCCCAGCCGTATACACACAACTCGATGTCTGAGTAAATACTACGCGGAGAAACGCACATGCCGAAATGAGACTCAGTGTAGTTCTTACAGTAAGTCACATTTTCTCTCATTCCATTGTCCAATTTGCTGGGTGCTAAGTGGGAGTGGAGAAGAACTAAAGTGTAATGAACACTCGACATACGAGCGAAACACACGAGGACCTTCCCTGAGTGAAAGACTGGTTGATGGATATCACATCACAATAATAATTAATCCTTGGATTGGTTAATGGCAAGTCCAGTTTGTCATAGTTGGTGCGTCTAGTTCACTTAGAAAGGTCTCTGTCTAAAGTTCTGATGGCCAAATTCAACGATACACAGGTATCGATTGGAGAGATCAGTGTACATACTACAGATTAACTTTAATCTTAATCTCGGGACCAGTATCCGACTGCCATTTACTCAACGGTCTGATTAGCATTAAACAAAATGAACGTGATATTCCAAATCGGTTACTTCGTGATACGGTTAGTTGTAGCTTGACAAGTTTTTCTGGTGAATGAAAAGGGAGAAAAAGTAATTTTTGAAAATCGAATGAAATTATACAACGATTCACTAAATGATAAACAAATTCACATTGATTTTGGAGTGCTTTCTCATAAACAGTTCATTCTGATCTCATTTGCTTCCGTGAGGTAACATACACGAAATCCGTGGAAGGAATGGATGCGCATGATTGTAAGAAATAAGTAAACCGTGAGGTGATGCGATAGTGGAATATATTCGCGATACAATCAGATCGGCCTTAAGGGTTGGTTGATTTTGATCCGTAATCAGTGGATTCTGCTCACGTCAGTACTCCGTCAACTCGATTGAGGACTACTGCATATTTTCATATGTAAAGATAATTAAGGGCGGTCCAGTATCTCTTGACAGCTGTTGTTTGTGTCGTTGTCTTTGTTGTTTTGAGTCTGCGATATTGCGGTCATCAAAACTTTGATGTAGTTGTAGTACGATCAGAGGAATTCCGTTTGCGTATGCTTACGGTTTACCTCTGAGGTCTCGGGTTCACTCCCCAGCTCGGTTGATCGATCCACATCGTTGATAAGATCCAAAAATGTCAGTATGCGAAGCATTTCACCATTTAATCCTTCACTACTCAATTAGAACAAGTAATCATGTTCGGAAAGTTTTCGACCGAGTGGTGGTGACGTATTGGTTTAGTCACTATCACCGACCTAACTTGGACTCAATGGTTCAAGGTTCGAATTCCGCTACCGCCACCCGACTNGGCAGATTTGCTTTCGTTCGATTCCATACCACGCCTAATCTAGCTGGGCCTTGTGCGGGTCGCCACGCCTAGTCCCGAGGCCTACGTTACCGGTTTTCTTGTCTGAACAGCAGGTCCTCGTGGCTGTAGGGTTAACCCCGAGGAGCGAGATGCGGCGGCCGAAACGACCTTGCAAAGCTAGATTGTGTAATATCGTAAATAGGCAAAGTGAAATAATTTTAATTACTCATCATTTCTCACTTGTGTAGTATGCTTGAGTTATATTTGTGAGGTCTAGCGTCTGATCATCTTTCGCACAGCTGATGAGATCTAACAAGTCCGAAATAGTCCTCCAGTAAATCTCAACTAGCAGCTCAAATTTTCTTTATTCTGTATATTGTAAAATCCGGTTGTAGGTCAGAAGTACTTTCAAATTTTACATCAACAAATATGTAGCATACAGACATCACATGAATGACAATTTATTCGTGCGAGTGATCTCAGCCAGTGTGGAGAGTTGACAATTGTTGCGGAATTTCGATATCAACAGTCGGAATCCTCGCAGAACTTTAGAAACCGAAGCGGATGCGAAAAGAACGCACCTGGATGAGTATCTGACTCCCATTAATGACCGGTTAGTTAAACAGTACGAAGACAACATTGATGGAACAGCTTATACGGTCCTGCGGTTTCACTGGGCTTGAGGAAAGAAGTAATCCAATCGCCACTTAAACAACAACAACTAGGAATCTCATCACCGAGGATAGCTGTTGATGATTATAATATTTCCCAGGAAGCAAATTTTGCTCTCTCTCTATCTCTCTGATATACTTAGGATTTCGTGCTGTAAACTTTGGCTTTTATGACTCAATCCCACCGGTAGGAAAACGACTGGGGGCACAAATGTGAGAAACAGTCATGATGTGTATCCTCTGGGAGAATTCTGCATTTGTTCTACACACACCAATTGAAGAAATCTATCCATTCATGCATTCAACGTCTCTCTGAATTTCGCGGCCTAATGATTATGTGGAAGATTCCGTGATTCAGTAGAACGATTTCGTCTGGTTCAACACGGACAAAGGGGTGTTGCGGGAAAAAGTAGAGAGGTAAGGTGCTCAGTTTATTGACACAAAGCTCGTATATGATTCGCCAAAGTCCAAGTTTTCAGTTGAAATACAATCATTTTAAAATCGATTACCTGCTCTCGTTAGACTCAAATAAAGGAGGTATACTGCGTTCCACGTACTTCGAGTTAGTTACAAATGTTGAGACTATGTTTCCCTGAACCTTATTCTCGTGCACACACAATCATCCAAGTAGCCCCAATGAACAGATAGGAATCGTACAAAGGAAAAAGAGGAACTCAAGGGTGAGCAAATTCGCCAAGTTTGCGTGCAAATGGATGTTTAGCAGATTTGAAGTTTCTATGGCAACTGTGAAAAGTTCAGTAGCCTCGTACAAAGCGTAGGCGGCGTCCATGCGTGGGTTTGAATCCCACCGAGGCACAATCCCCATTGAAAGTAGGTTTGCCTCTAATCGGTCATCAATGGTTTCACGTTGATTTTTGCCCGACAATTGAGCAGATTCAAAACCTGCCTGATTACGATGAATGAACAAGGACGAGAACGAGCTGGATAGTAGCGGTTCGGATACTTGTCGAATCCGTGAAAACATGCCATAGCTAAACGTAACAGATCAGGACTACTGCATCGACCAGTTTGGACATAAACTGTTTCCGGACTGTTTACTAGAGCATCGTAATCGAGGTGGAGCATGTGGGGTTGAGATTGCACGTCACTCAAACGAAGGTGCTATGGATGTCCGATCAGCTTCACACTGAACGTATGTTTAGATTACCAGTGTTTGGAGTTAGCCATCGTACAGACCATTAACATCGATATTGGATAAACTATCTGCTTGATTGATCAGCACCAATGAAAGCGTATGTTCGATCGTGGTCAGGTGTGCACGGGCTCGTGAGGACAAAAGGTCCTGGTGATAGGCAGCCCTATCCATTGGTGATAGCTTGCAAAATTTGTTTGGTTCAGACCAGTCGACGACCGGAGGTGCAATGAACATGTACCAAAATATGACCATCCAGTAGGTGGACGTACACAGTGGTTCGCATTGTTTGTCTCTATAATTAGGATATGTTTGTTTGCATTTTTTAGT